GATGATGAATGTCACACCATTCGTCTTTAATTTGTCATCCTGGCATAGTAGATCATATGGTTGTCTGATTGAAAATGGACAAAACCAGTCCATTTCAGCTCCCTAGTGCCTAGGCTGTCGATCTTTATGTGTTTCATTTCATTTTTGACAACTTCCAGTTTTCCTAGATTCATACTTCGTACATTCCATGTTCCGATTATTAAGCAGCTGTTTCTCCTCAGTTTGAGTTGTGCTATGTCAGCAAATGGAGGTCCCAAAAGCTTTACTTTATCCTTATCATTAAGATTGGGTTCTACTCTGATGAGGCAGCTCTTTCCCAGTTGTATTTTGAGTGCCTTCTGATCTAAGGTGCTCATCTTCTGGCACTGTATTGGACAATGTTTAAAGGCTATTCATAAAGTTATCCACTAATGTATCAGACAGCATTTCTCTGCTGTTCCTAAAGTTTTCACTGTCCAATTCTTTTAGAAATGGATGTCCTCTTCCTTCTTCCTTCTTCTTTCTTCTGAGTCTGTCTCAATTTGGAAGCTCCACTGAAACCTGTGTACCCTGTGCAGCCATGTTGGCGATTGAAAACACCAGTGGCATACCCTCCAGCCTCCCATCAACACGCAAGCCACTGCCGTAGGACAAACTGACAGACAGCTGAGTGAGTGCCTCCAGTGGGGCATCCTTTGTTGAAATATCTCAATGGGTAGTCCATAAGATCCTGGAGCCTTCCTTCACTACAGCTTTTACTTCTTTTAGTACCCTTGGTTCTTGATCATATGCCACCTCCTGAAATGGGTGAACATCGACCAATTCTTTTTGGTACAGTACCTGTGTATTCCTTCCATCTTTTGATGTTTCTGGCATCGTTCAATATTTTGCCCATAGGATCTTTTAGTACTGCAGCTTGAGGCTTAAATGTTTTCTTCCATTCTTCCAGCTTGAGAAATGCTGATTGTGTCCTTCCCTTTTAGTTTTCTCACTCCAGGTCTTTGCACATTTCATTATAATAATTGACTTCGTTTTTTCAAGCTGCTCTTTGAAATCTTCTGTTCAGCTCTTTTATCTTGCCATTTCTTCCATTTGCTTTAGCTACTCTCTGCTCAAGGGCAAGTTTCAGAGTCT